ACACAACTGGCCTGGAGATGATGGGTCAACAGAGAGTGTATCTAAAGAGCTGCCAGAACAGAAATTCATCCAAAGATTTGTACACTATTATCCACAGCAGCTTTATTCATAACAGCCAAAAAGTAACAACCCAAATATCCATCATGTTGTGAACATATAAAAAGAAACAAAACTCAGCAATAAAAAGAAATCAACTACCCTGGCCAGTTTTGCTCAGCGGTTAGAGCGTCAGCCTGCAGACCAGAGAGACCCGGGTTTGGTTCCTGCTAAGGGCACATACCTCAGTTGCAGTTTGTCCCCGGCGCCAGTTGGGGTCATGTGGGTGGCAGCCACTCGATGTGTCTCTCTCACATTGATGTTTCTCTCTCTCCCTCCCTCTCTATCTGAAGATAAATGCAAAAGTGTCCTCAGGTAAGGATAATAAAATATAATTAAATAATTAAAAAGAAATCAACTGATCCACACAACACAAGGAATCTGTGAAACATTATGCTGAGGAAAAGAGACAATCAGAAGAGCAACCTCACATGATCCCATTTACAGAGCACATCTACAGCAGGAAGGAAAAGTTCATCTGCTATGTAGAGAGAACGGTGGTTCTCTGCGTTGGATAGTCAGGGTAGAGGTGGGGACTAACTGCAAAGGGGCATGGGAGAACCTGCTGGACAGATGGGAAGTGTTCTATATCTTAATTATCATGGCATAGCAGTTACCTTGGTGCATGTATTTGACAGAAGCCATCAACCTGCAATTTAAAATTGAGCTCATTTGCCTTTGGGACAACTTCAAGCGTGCCAACATGTGCATGTTGGGGGTGCCAGAAGGAGAAGAGAGAGAACAAGAAATTGAAAACCTATTTGCAAAAATAATGACAGAAAACTTCCCTAACTTGGTGAAGGAAACAGACATACAAGTCCAGGAAGTACAGAGAGTCCCAAACAAGATGAACCCAAAGAGGCCCACACCAGGACACATCATAATTAAAATGCAAAAGGTTAAAAACAAAGAGAGAATCTTAAAAGCAGCAAGAGGAAAGCAGGTAGTTACCTACAAGGGAGCTCCCATAAGACTGTCAGCTGATTTCTCAAAAGAAACTTTGCAGGCCAGAAAGAAATGGCAAGAGATATTCAAAGTGATGAAAAGCAACAACCTACAACCAAGATTACTCTATCCTGCAAAGTTATCATTTAGAATCAATAGATATATAAAGAGCCTCCCGGACAAGAAAACACTAAAAGACTTCATCATCATCAAACCAGTATTATATGAAAAGCTGAAGGTTCTTCTTGAAGAAGAAGATAAAAAATATGAACAATAAAATAGCAATGAATACATATCGATCAACAATTGAATCTATGAACAAAATTAAAAAGCAAACAGAAACAAACTAATAGATAGAAAATTTTTTGTCGGCAGCCAGATGGAAAAAGGATTGGGGGGATAGGCAAAAAAGGTGAAGGGATTAAGAAGTACAACTGGACTTCCGGTCAAGATGGCACTGTAGGTAAATGCGGTATCGAGTCCTCCCACAACCACATCAAAGTTACAACTAAACTACAGAACAACCCTCACTCAAAACCGCCTGAAATCAAGCTGAATGGAAGTCCTACAATCACGAAATTAAAGCAGCAGCCACATCAAGACTGGTAGGAGGGGCGGAGGGGCTACAGGCTGGTCCCACACCCACGTGTGGCGGATAAAAATCAGGAGGATACCTCGGCTGGGAAGTTCCTTCCTGAGGACTGAGGGGTCCCCGTCCCACACGAGATGCCCCACTCAGGGTTCCAGTGCCAGGAAGAGAAGTCCCATAACTTCTGGCTGGAAAAACCAGCGGGAACTGAGGCTCAGGGAGGCTGAGGTGGCTGGAGCCCCAGGAAGCTCCTTAAAGGGCCCGTGCACAAACTTATCGAACTCACTCCCTCTAAGCTTGGAGGGGAGGCAGCTCGAGGGGCTCCAGAGACATACAGGGAAGAACTGAGCTGTTTGGCACTGGAGCAAGGGCTGAAGAGAAGGCTTTCTCCGGGACAAACGTGCCATCAGAGGCCTTTGTTCCTTTAGTGAGCCCTTCCCTGGGGCAGCAGACAGTCACCATATCTGGGACTCCAGTAACCTGGCTCACACTGGTAGCCCCACCCTGGTGATTCCCTGAGGCCACGCCCCACCCAACTTGCAGGCCCAACCAAGCTGTTGCCACTTGCTTAACCATAGGATTGGCCGGTCTTGGATCCTGCTTCAGGTTTTCCAAAATACTTTTAAACAAGCAGCATCTGGTCTCAGATAGCCCCATACCTCTTGTTAAGTAATACACAGAAACAAACACAGAGAGGCAGCCAAAATGAGGAGACAAAGAAACAGATCCCAAATGAAAGAACAGAACAAAACCCCAAGAAAAGAACTAAGCGAAATGGAGATAAGCAACCTAACAGATGCTGAGTTCAAAATATTGCTTATAAGGATACTCAATGAACTTAGTGAGAACCTCAGTGAACTTAGTGAGGGCCTCAAGAGCATAACCATGGACCAGTCAGAAATGATGGATGCACAGTCAGAAATGAAGGAGGCATTAACTGAAATAAAGAATAATTTACACAGATTCAATAGTAGAGTACGTAAATACAAGAAGCAAACCATTGATTTGGAATATAAGGAAGCAAAAAACACCCAATCACAACAGCAAAAAGATAAAAGAAGCCAAAAAAATGAGGCTAGTGTAAGGAGCCTCTGGAACAACTTCAAGTTGTCAACATTTGCATCTTGGGGGTGCCAGAAGGAGAAGAGAGAGAACAAGAAATTGAAAACCTGTTTGAAACAATAACGGCAGAAAACTTTCCTAACTTGGTGAAGGAAACAGACATACAAGTCCAGGAAGCACAGAGAGTCCCAAACAAGATGAACCCCAAGAGGCCCACACCAAGACACATCATAATTAAAATGCAAAAGGTTAAAAACAAAGAGAGAATCTTAAAAGCAGCAAGAGGAAAGCAGTTAGTTACCTACAAGGGAGTTCCCATAAGGCTGTCAGCTGATTTCTCAAAAGAAACTTTGCAGGCCAGAAGGGAGTGGCAAGAAATATTCAGAGTGATGAAAAGCAAAAACATACAACCAAGATTACTCTATCCTGCAAAGCTGTCATTTAGAATCGATAGTCATATAAAGACTTTCCCAGACAAGAAAAAGTTAAAGGAGTTCATCACCACCAAACCGTTATTATATGAAATGATGAAGGATCTTTTTGAAGAAAAAGATAAAATATATGAACAAACAAAATGGCAATGAATACATATCTATCGACAATGGAATCTACAAACAAGATGAACAGGCAGAACAGAAACATTCTCATAGATACAGAGAACATTTTGTTGGTTGCCAGATGGGAGGGGGATTGGGGGAATGGGTGAAAAAGGTGAAGGGATTAAGAAGTACAAATTCATTGCTAGACTGACAAACCTCAAAGGGAAAGGAGTTGGGGGGTGGGAAGAAATAAACCAAAGAACTTATATGCATAACCAATGGACACAGAAAATAGTGTGGGAAAAGATGGGAGGGGGCGGGAGTGGGGAGGAGGGGATCAATGGGGGAAAAATGAGGAACATCTGTAATACATTCAACAATAAAGATGAAAAAAAAAGAAGTACAACTGGTTGTTAGACTGATGAATCTCAAAGAAAGGAGGGAGGGGGCAAGAAGAGATAAACCAAAGTCTTATATTAAAAAATAAAATAAAATTGGGCTCATTCTGGCTCTGTCTGGATAGCTTAGTTGGTTAGAGCACTGTCCAGATATGCCAAGGTCTCGGATTTGATCTCTGGTCAGGGCATATACAAGAATTAACCAATGGCGCTGGCCGGTTTGGCTCAGTGGTTAGAGTGTCAGCCTGCGGTCCAGAGAGACCCGGGTTTGGTTGCCGCTAAGGGCACGTACTTCGGTTGCAATTTGTCCCCGGCCCTGGATGGGTCATGCAGGTGGCAATCGCTCAATGTGTCCTTTTTGAGTCCATGTTTTTTCTCTCTCTCTCCCCCTCCACTCTATCTGAACCAAAAATGGAAAAGTGTCCTCGGGTGAGGACACACACACACTAAAAAGAATCAATCAATGAATGTATAAATAAGTGGAACAATAAATCAATGTCTCTCTCTCCCTTCCTCTCTCTAAAAATCAATAAATAAAAAAATTTTAAAATGGACTCACTCTGTAGTATGTAAATTACATTCAATAAAATTGACTAAAACACCCTCGCTGAATGGTCCATTTACGATTTATACACTTTACTGAATGTAAATTCTACCCCCCCCCCAGAAAAATATGTTGAACTCTAGTTCAATATTCAAAGATATGAATGTACAAATGTAGAGGGGACGGGGGCTATAATACATGACAATATGGCATGCCCAGAGGAGGAGGCAGAGGGACAGGTGTCTTATAAGCAAATGTCACCACTGTTAGTCACAACCTGCAAAACCCCTGTAGAACCTAGAGACTGGGTATTAGGAATGCACGGTATAATTCTTTCAACTCTGCTGTATGTTTGAAGATTTTCATAATAAAATGTTAGAAAATAACTGGTGCAGAGGTGGAAAAGTGCTCATTTTCAGTCCAACTATGAGTCAGCCCACTCCAAATCTAGGTGGTATTTTCATTTAAAATCATTCTAGTTGATAGCAGCTTTATGGGGCTGCTATTAGATAATAAGTTTCAAATGCTGTTCCTCTTCCTCACAAATCACATGTTTAATTAGTGCCCACTGTGTGAGGTCAGTGCAGGTGAAGAAGGGGTCCTGGAGGCCATGAGTCTCATCAGTCATCCCCATGAGTAGGCAAGAGGCAAGTGGACATCCAACCGGCTCAGCACGGTTACAGAAAAGTGAAGATATTTCAAACACCAAGTGGGGGCAGACACTCACCACCTGCTCTGAAGGAATGAAATGGGGAATGCTGGGACAGGTGGACTTGCCTGAACCACACACCAACAGACAGGCAGGAGGAGTGTGCCCCCACACCCACCTGCAGCACACGACTCATCCACTGGAAGCTGTCCTCCTCAGAGGCGTCTGGCCGCTGCTCTGCCACAAGCACAATCCGGTCATCATGCAGCACTGTCACAGAGAACACAGCGATCCTGGGGGAGGATAAGGACAGAAATGACCACCTAGCAAAGGATGCCAGAGGGGATGCAGATACCTCTTCTCACTTAAAAGGAAGCTGCAGAAGTGCTGGTGTTTAGTCAATCGAACAGTGGGCTTTAAAAAGTAACCAGTTACTTTAAAAAATAACCAGTAATCTCCTTGAATATGACTGAAAATTCACTAAAACAGAGAGGACTATGGTGCAAAGCAAAACACAGTTTAAAATTTTCCTTAATTGTAATGTTAATAATGTGATACACTTCTTTGTGCAAAAACCTTTGTCTAGAAGTTCTATGAGTTATATTTTTCATCCAACTGATTAAATCTGTCTCTCACTCAATTAATCTGCTTATGTTTACTGAACTTGTTTCTCCCATCTTACTTTAAGAATTTCAACACGTTTTCTCTGTATCACCTTTTTCTTCGTTTAGACTTGAGATGATATACCTTTTTCCTATAAGACAAGATGCTGGTCTCCCCATCAAACCACCATGCTAGTACATCTAATGTTTTAATCCTGGGCCTTTATAGACATACCTTCTCATTCTCTCCTTTGACTAGTGTGCATGCACGCACACACACATACACACACATTCTTTTATACAACAACCTTTACCCAGCATTAAATTTTCCTTCTTTTCTTTTTATTTTATATTTTTATTGATTTTCGAGGAAGGAGATGAGGGAGAGAGAGAACGAGAAAGACAGAGACAGATAGAGAGAGAGAGAAACATTGGTTGGTTGTCTCCTATACATGCCCCGACCAGGGATCAAAACTGCAACCTGGGTATGTGCCCTGATTTGGAATTGAACCTGCCACCTTTTTTTTTTTATCCTCACCTGAGGACATTTTTCCTTTTTTTTCAGATAGAATGGGAGGAAGCGAGAGGAAGAGAGAGAGAGAGAAACATCAATGTGAAAGGGACACATCGAGTGGCTGCCCCCTGCAGGGCCCAACCAGGGCCAGGGACAAACTGCAACTGAGGTACATGCCCTTAGCGGGAACCGAACCCGGGTCTCTCTGGACCACAGGCCGATGCTCTAACCGCTCAGCCAAACCGGCCAGGGCGAACCTGCCAACTTTTGGTGTACATGATGACACTTCAACCAACTGAGCCACACCAGAAAGGGCAAATTTTCCTTTCTTTCCTACATTTTGTAGCATTTCTGGAATTGTTTCTTAGTACCTCATCTGAAAGTGTTTTCACAAAAAAAAATGTTTTGGTGACCAAACTTTTGAAACTTATAGACTCATGAATATTTTTATTCCAATGGAACAATTAAGTGACAATCTGGATAAATACAAAATCTAGGTTAAAAGTTCCTTTTAGCCGAGCCGATGTGGCTCAGTGGTTGAGCACTGACCCATGCACCAAGAGGTCACTGGCTCGGTTCCCGGTCAGGGCACATGCCCAGGCTGTGGGTCCAATCCCCAGTGAGGGGCATATGCAGGAGGCGGCCAATCGATGTTCTCTCTCATTGGTGTTTCTCTCTCTCTCTCCCCCTCTCTAAAATCAATAAAGAAAAATATATTTTTTAAAAATGTTCCTTTTAAAAACAAAAAACAGCCCTGGCCAGTTTTGCTCAGTGGTTAGAGCGTCGGCCTGCGGTCCAGAGAGACCCGGGTTTGGTTCCCACTAAGGGCATGTACCTCGGTTGCAGTTTGTCCCTGGCCCTGGTTGGTTCGTGCGGGTGCAACCACTCGATGTGTCCCTTTCACGTTGATGTTTCTCTCTCTCTCTCTTCCTCTGTCTCCCTCCCACTCTCTCTGAACAAAAAAAGGGAAAAATGTCCTCGGGTGAGGAAGAAAAGAAAAAGATGTTTAAAAACTTAAAAACATCATTGCACTGTCATCCTCTTGCACCAGCCCCTGTACTAGGAAGTCTGATGCACTCTGCCTGGTCCTGTGTCAGCTGAGAAACATTGCCAAATCTGCCATGTGGACCCTTCTCAAGTCAAGAGAACTTCAGCCTCTCACTTTGCAGACACTCCCTCCTTCTCTTCCAAGCCTGATACCTGGATTGCCAGACCTTCTTCTCTCCCCATCTCTTTTAATTTCTCTTTAAAACTTTCTGTTTCTTTACCCCTGGAGTAGTTCCTTAATCTGACTTTCCAGCTTATCATTTTTCTCTCTAGCTGTATCTATACTACTATTTATTCCATCTATTGTGTTCTTTGTGTAAACAACTGTTATGTTTTCTTGATCTCATTTCATGTTACTAATATCCCAGTGGCACACACACTCAACCAGTTATAGTTCTATTTCAAAATGGTTGTGGCCCTCAAGCTCTTCCCTGGTGGGGACAGAAATGCTAAGCTGTCCACTTGCGAACTGCCCCACACCCCAGCCCACCACACAGGCTGGAATTGCCTCATCAGGTACCTGCTCAGAACAGGGCCTTTACCTCTAGGTACCATCAGGTTCTGGTAGCCATGCAAGGAAGCAGTCTCTGTCATATACCCCAGGAGAGGTGTGGGCCGCCCTGATGTTACCCCATGGACACCTGTACCAGCAGTGTCCCTAGTTTCTACTGTGAGGACAGGTAGTGATGTCCTGGGACACTCTACACTGCACACACCTATAGGACTGGCCTGCTGGTCTCTCCTGGGTGGTTATCTGATGCCCATCATCTTTTCCTGGGGGAAGGCCAGCAGCCCATGCTGACCCACTATTGGGCAGAATTCGCTAATGATTTCTTTAAGGGATATTAAAAGGCAGGATCTGGCCAGGCTCAGAGGCACCCTAGTTTGAGTAGTAAAAGCACTTCCTGAGAAGTATAAAATTTAAAAAATGCATCTGGTTGAATGGACCAACTAGGAGAAGGGGCTGCTTCCCCCAGGACAGAGCTCAGGAGCTGAACAGAGTTTCCCCTTTTTGTCCCCAGCCACTGGGGCATAGGCCAGAGGTCCATTTATTTGCTCAATGGAGACAAGAATGTTTAAGTGTTGCCTAACACCTTCAGAAACTTGACTGATTCTATCCCAGAAGCAAGGCAGGGTCTCTGCATGTCTCACTAAACCTTAGGATAAAAAGAACTGGCCTCTGCTGGTTGCAGAAAACATGGTATTGGGTGTTCCAATCTACATCTGTGAGGTCATGCACATGACCTGTGGTGCTGGTGCCGGTCCCTGTGCCCAGTTATACGTTCAGATTTCAATGTCTTAAAGGTCTGCATGAGCTCTGGGGACAGTGAGGACACTAACTCTGCTGTCTTTGCTGCAAGTGCCATCCTTTTCCTTGTGGAGTTTCTCTGATGAACAGGAATTTTTAGGATAGGTTTGTTTGTTCAAGTCACTGGACTTTTCTTCCACTGCAAACAAACTTCTCCAACCTTAAGTGGAGAAAAGACCTAAAGCCATAGCACAGGGACCCGCAGCGCATCACCTGCCTCTGTAGACAAACTTCATGGGCTCCACGGCCAGCGCAGTGGCCACGATGTCATCCGCATTGTGTCTGCGAACTCCGACCACCATCAACCCATCCAGCTTGCCCACAACGAAGACCAGGTTATCCTGAAAGCAAGGAAGCTGGTCAGGACTCAGGACACATAAGCAGGGCCTGTGGGTCAGGCCCTGCTACAAAAAGATGGGAGCACCATGAGCACACAAACGGTGACAGGTGAAACCCAGGACAAGATGACTGTGGGATGAAGGAACCCCATAGCTTGGTGGGCTCAGGCCAGGGAAAAGAGGCATTCAGGGATGGAGTTGGCACGAGAAAAGTCAAAGATAGGAATACAGCTGTGGGTGAAGTTTATAAAGAACTCTGAGTGCTACAGGACAATGGCCAGGGTTCCCAAACTTGGCACCAGTGACATTTTGGGCTGACAGTACTTTAGTGGGTGCTGCTGTCCTGTACACTGTGGGGTATGACACAGCACTCTAGCCTCTAGATGCCCACTTATAATGGCAGCATCCCCTCCTGAGTGGTGAGTCGTTGAGGGACACAGGTCCTGGTGGGACTACTCACAGGGCCGATGAAGCCCAGCAGCCCAGTCCTGGTGAAAGGCCTGTCGGAGATGGGCGCTCCTCCTGCAGTGACCGGGACAGTCTGCACAGAGCGGAAAAGGGAACAATTAGGCTGTGGTCCACAGATAATCAACCAACTGGCCAGGAGTCAGGGGGCGGGTGGGAGAGCTCAGCACTCACACTGCCTGATTGTCAGTGCGTGGTTCCTCAGGTGGGCCATCACCCATGTTTCTGGAGGGGAAGAGGCTACCCCAGGGCTGGAGTCCCTGCGGGCCCCTATGCACAGCATGGCCCTGCCTGGCCCAGAAAAGTGGCACTCACTGGGCTCTTCCGACACCCAACTCCAGCAAATAGCACTGGCTTGCCTGGGCAGCCTCAACTCCTGTCAGGGCTGTAATAGTGCCCTGACTCAGAGCTGACCCAGCAGAACAGGTGCTAAGGAGGCCGGCCTACCACCCACCGTGCTCCATGGATGCTCTTAGAACTTAACTTCAACATAAAGTACAAACCTCAAAGATGTTCTTTGTGATCCCCAGTAGTCCGTAGTAGGCTGTGCCTGTAGCACTGGAGTCCACACATATTTCTCCAACCTCATCAGTTTTACAAAGATACGGGGCACCGTCTACCTTCACAACACATACATTAGCTAAAAAGAGAAAAAAACCCTCGAAAGCATAAATACATTGAAGTGGATCATCCACAAGGATCTATTTGCTGCCATGTCTGCAGTTATGGAAACAAAATATTACATGTGTAGTACATTCTACAACAAGCTTTCTGACATGTATCGTATACACTCCATTTGTTCATGTATTTATATTTGACACACACCAAGGTGAGGTGATGGAACAGTTCAGCCCACCCTTCCTATGCTAAGCAGACACACAGGCTCTGCATGACTCTCCTGCACCCACATGAGACGTTGGCTGACCTGGCTGCCAACATGTACCACCTTGCACATTTGCTCTGAGGCTGGCTCCAGCTCCAGAGCCTGAGGGACCCCACTTGTACCAGGGCCTTTCCTGTCATGCAGGCCTCAGTATGGCCCCTCCCACAGCCTTATCACCCCTGTTGTTTTCACTAAGCAGCACCCCTACCTGATGCTCCTGCCTGCTGCCTGTCCCTTGGCACTGGGGACCTTGCTTGTGTGGTCACCACAGCCCCAGGCCGCCAGCCCTGCCACAGAGCAAGTATCCAGAAACAGCCTCCAATAATAGAGCAAAACACACACTAGAACATGCAGTGGTTCATCAAACAAAATTCAGTCACTCAGTATGAATTAAATAGCCAGGAGTTACTTGGGCCTTGTCCTTCCTTTGCCCCTTCTTGAGTTTTTCCTAATGTACTCTCATCTCCAAAGATGTGAGCAAGGAAAAGATACAGGAGAGCAACAGTCATTTACTTCCCTTTGTGTATAAATCTGTCAAAGCCTCAGCAGAGAGAACATTGGGGATGTTCACTAAAAGAGGTGGCACTCATGTAACTCACTGGATAGGTGGCCCTCAGCTCACACCCAGACACTCACATGATGACAGACACCCCAATTTAAATCACAAAAGGCACAAAGGAACAATATCCACTTCACTGTGGTCAACACAAAACCAGTAGGATTAACACAGTAGAGGCTGTACATCTGCTAAAAGCAAACACCATCAACCCTCACCAAGTCAATCAGTCCTCACCTGTTCCGGCCAACAGACCCCCCACCTTTCAGGGAGCACCATACACACAGACTCATCCAGGGGAGCACCATGCACACTCACACACCTAGGGGAAAACTGTGTACACACAGTCCATTCTGGTCCATGTTTTACTAGTAAAAACCAAATACTACAATGAAAGTCTCTTATTTTTTTATTCAGAAAAATTACCAAGACTATTTTCACCAGTCTTTTAAAGAGTTACTACTGTGCTCTCCTATAACTACTAAAAATATATAAGACTCTCAATCTTTGCTCTTAATGTTTCTTCATGTTCAAATTACTACAGTACCAATGAATCCATATTTATGGTAAAATTATAAAAATAAAAAATACATTTCATATTGCTAAAGAGTAACTAGAAAAAAATTTGAACTTCCAGTCTTGTTCTAAGAATCCAAACTTCTCCATACATGTAGGGCCAGATATCCTTGCTATGGGCTCTCCTCTCTCCCTCTGGAGTGCCTGGCACCAAGCCCAAGTGGCACATGCCCCATGGAGGCAGACCTGAAAACACAAGGGCCAGGATGCTGGGCATCCTGGAGACCCTGCAACCTTGAACCTGGACATAACAGCACTGGGATGAGGGTGAGTGACTGAGAATGGGAGCCTGCCTCTAGAAGTCACCAGGGTGGGTCAGGACAGCTGCCCACGAACCAGAGAAGGGCCTGCATGGTATGGGAGGAAACTGAAGAGATTGTGGAGTTGCTAAATGAGAGATGACCTCAGAGCAGCATAAACAGAGCGTTCCCCAACTCACAACTGTCACTGGGTGCCTCCTGAGCCAGGCTCTGCCCTTAATTTTCCACGTGAAACTGTGCATCAGCATCACTCCATGTGACCTCGCCTGCAGACCAGCAGGAAGACAGCTCCATCGCTTTCTTGTCACTGCACTGCCATAGGGGTAGCAGGGAAGCCAACAACAACTCATGAGGTAGGCTCATGGGGCCTGATGTATAGGATGGCTCACATGGCCTTTCTGGAACCCACAGGAATTTTTGTGAACCTTAATTTAAGGCCATACTCCTAATATAAAGGTACTTTCACAATTTACTGAAATTGTCCAATAGCCTGGGGACTGGCGCCAGGCAAAGTGCTCGACCATTGTCTCGCTAGCTCAGCCTTGCCTCCCACCCTGAACGGCCTGCCTGGAGCTTGTAGATTAACTCCCATCTTGCTCTTATCGATTCACATTCCAGAGGCTCCATGCATACCCCCGCAGGGCCAAACCCTAAGGGACAAATTCCAGCTGCAACAGGCAGATATAAAAAACACAAGCCCCTACATTGAGCGCGGCTTCTAGGACTCGACCCCCGGAGTCTGTGAACCCGCCTGGAATGTACCCAATAAAGCCTGATCCCTGTTTATTTGGCTGATTGGCTCTCCAGTCTCTTCTGTTTTATTCGGCGGCGCCTCTGATTCCTTACAGAAATAATCTAAATATCAAGTTATTCAGACATCATGGGCGCCATGGGGTTTATGCCTTGATATATGTGAAGTATGAAGACTGCCTGGCAGCAGTATGAGCTATTGTCACCATTACCCCAAATACTGGAACTAGAAGTCAGGTTCACAGGCCATAAACACAGCCTTGTATTTTAGCTCGGCTCTAAACTTAATACAAAAGAAAGCAAAAAACTGAAAAAATGTTATAAATTAAAATCCCAACCTATGTGGGAAAACCCTTTTAAGAAATATTTGTGTTCCAGATCACTCCTATAAAGCCTGCAGCTGGTATAACTCGTCTTTGTTTTTATTGATTTCAGAAAGGGAGAGAGAGGGAGAGAGAAAGACAGAAATGTCGATGAGAGAAACAATGATCGGCTGCCTCCTTCACGCCCATACTGGGGATCGAGCCCGCAACCCTGACATGTGCCCTGACTGGAAATCCAACCTGCAGTGACTTCCTGGTGCATGGGACAATATTCAACCAACTGAGCCACATGGGGGTGGGGAGGGGTGATTCTTTGTCGTGTTAATTGAAGGACAAGACAAACTCCAGGTGCATCCCTTACCTCCAGGCATCACCTGACCAACGTCCTGAACAGTAAGGACTGACAACTTTTCTTCAGTATCAACTCTGATCACACCGTAACTAAGGCCATTCATTGATAGTACGGCTTTTCTCGGAGGAGGTCCTCCCAGGTCAGGTGGCCTAGAAAACAAAACTAGATTAATTGACAAAGAGTAGAATCCTTGGGAGATGAGACCTGTGGCCCACCTTGCCTGCAGGATGATGCTGTGCCCCAGGCCCTGCTCTGCTCCATACTGTGAGGACACCAAATGCAGGACTTCGTGCGGCAGACTACATTCCTAAAGATGCCACCACCTCTCCACTCCATATTCTCCTCTTCAGTGAGACCTTGACACTCCTCCCTTCATCTAGTGGGCCTGTGATGATGGTGGAAGTGATGCTAAGTGATTTCAAAAGGAGGTCATAAAAGGTAGTTCAGATTCCACCTGCTTGTCTTGGGAGACTCACTGGGAGTCAGTCCTGGGCAGCCAGATAAGCAGAACGACAGGGACCAGCGGGAGAGGCCTGAGACTGCACACAGGAAGTCATGTCTGCTGCTCCCCCAACCCTAGTTCAGTCCAGAGAACATTCAACTGCAAGGCAGCACCAAAGTCTGACCACAAAAAGCATGAGAGATATAATAACTGACTGTTGCTGTTCTAAGCCAAGTTTGGGAGTAATCTGTTATGCAGCATTGTTAAATACCACTGAAAAACAAAGGTCAATATTTTTCCCAGTAAAAAAATACTCCACTGACAAGCAAAAGAAATCACAGAACAAAGGAATAAAAAATGCTCCATGGTTTGTGAAGGATAAAGATGTTATTTTTAATGCTAAGTTATTATTAACATTTTAGGATTACTTAATGCTTTCACATAAAAGCATACACTGTTTTAGATATATAAACATGAATGATGCAGGACCACAACTGAGACTAATTTTCTAACAATAGAGTTGAAGATGCCCTCAACTGTGAGAACATTGCCCTACCCTAGGATGGCACTGGGGCAGCACAAGAGCCACAGGGTAGGAAAAAGATGACCAAGGCAGGACAAATGGACCATGGGCATACCTCTACCCCAGGATGGCTCTGGGATGCCCATCAGTGCACAAACAGCTTGGGAAATTGGCACAGGATGGGGCACTGCTTTATGATGGCTACTGCTCAGAAATAAATTAATAGCATTTGGTAATTCAGTACTAAGAATAAGAATTAAGTCTCCACAAGACACAACAAGAAATTAAGTTACCTGCGGATGGCAACCGTTAGTGCCTCAGCAGAACAAGCGCAAGGACAGATGACCTCCGGCCGCAGGCCTCTGGACTGGAAGACGTTGAGGAAGGCATCACAAGAAGATATGGACCCTGTGTGAAATAGAGTGGGACAAGAAAGTAACTGTAAGGCTGACGGGCCAGGCTCACTGCCAACATGCTGGGCAGATAAGCTCTGGGGGACAAATACTGTGACGTCAAGCCTGGAGACTATACCCGCTGACTTTCCATCCATTTCACATTTAAACCACCATAATGTAAGATGCTGTCACAACACAGGAAGCTAAGGGCCTCATGGGGAGGGGATGGGATGTTTCCATGGGAACATGATGCCCTTTCAAATCAAGAGGAGTTGGAAATTTCTCACAGAAAACCTATTTTTAGCCTGTGTTGGTTTTGAGATATAATTCATGGCCAGCCTTGCCTCCCTGTTCCACACAGCCTCATACCATGTCCTCAAAGGCTTGCAGAATGGGAGGTGACCGAGGCACAATTATGGAGATGAATCTTCCACATCACAAGGCCACAGGTACATGTGAATTCCTTGCTCCTAGAAGTGCTTGCCCAGTGAACCTACCACACCTCTCCTGGCAAGGCCGCCTATACTCAGTCCCCTGGTGTCACCCTGGCCACAGTCTGGGGTGTCATCAACATGTAAACTCAGTCCCCAGGAGGATAGGTGCTACCTGCACAGGACCCCAAAGTTGTACCATAAACCTCCAGCCCTCTACCACAGCGGGGCCTGAGAAAAGGAAGGGACCTGTTTTCAGTGCAGCCTCATGCTGGGCACTGGGAGACAGCAGAGGACAAATATGTCAATCCAAATCAGTCAGTGTGCTACAGGGAACTGGCATGCAGAATGGCAGGGACCAGAGATCTGCAAAAGGTGTAGGGGGCACTGGGCCTGGGAGGGCCCTCCTGACTTGGGGGGGGGGGGGGAGGATGGAGGTGGGGACAGAGCAAGAGGCACTGCAACAGAGTGTTGTGTGATGACCTGACCTCAAGTGCACAAGCAGCCTGGCCACGGGCACGAGTGGAAAAGTAGAGAAGTGAACAGCATCCAGGTGTTTTGGAGGCAAGATGTAGAACCTTGCTGGGCTCAGGTGTAGATGGAGAGAATGAGAGGCTGTGGGGTGCTAGATGAGATGATCTGTCCAGCAACAGGGTACCCAGGCATGCTGCTACCAGGGGTGTTAAGGTCACACTGGAGAGCGAATTAGATGACAGGCCAGACTCTGGTCAATGGCTCTGTGCTGCAGAGAATGCTGCATAAACACACTCCAAAATTCTACTGAAGCTCCCCAGAAAACACCCTGTGGCAGGCCCTGACAGCCTCCAATGAGCAGCCACGCTCAGGTCCTGCAGAGTCCGGGGTACACAGCAGCACACTAGGGAGTGGTTAAAGGAGTATAAGGGGCGGTGCATAAGGCCAAAGGGCGGGGTCTTCATGAGGCTAACGGGTCTCCAACAAGAGACTGTTACAACACACTCACTTTTCACTTTTCTGGGGACACGACAGGCCCAACCCTGGTCAGGGACTTACTCACATGGGTTAGCGCCATCGGCCACGATCAGCATGCGCAGGGAGCTGAGGCTGACGTCCCGCTGACCTCGTTGAGCCAGGAGAGACCAATGCATGTCACGGGACTTCACCAGTGCTGTCTGGGCTGGGGGAGGGAGGGGGCACAGGCGTGAAGGTGGCACACACACATCATGCAGACCCGCATACAGTGCTTGCTGCCAGGGCAGTACACACACAGGAGCACAGATACGCATCCTGTTTCAGGTCACACGTTCTCTGCAGCCCTGTCTCATTCACAGCTTAGCCTACCCTAACCCGTTTTACCTAAAATCAACTTTGAGGTCTGGCTTAAACAGCATAAATACAGATCTATTTTCAACTTTGATTTTCTCTCAGAAGCTCTATCATGCTCTTTCTACATCTGCCTCTTCTGTCTCATCCAACCCTCCCCTAGCTGCTAATGCATGCAGCTGTGTGGCCAGCAGAAGCCTCGGGGATATGAGGGCTACAAGCATATAGACTCAGCCCTCAATCCTGGCCATGCTAGTGGGCAGCACCTGCCAACCCCATTACCAGGCTTTAATCGTCCTCAGTAAAACAGGATGAACAGAGATGGATACCCCCTTAAGGCTGCCCTGACAACACCCGGTCAGAGCACATGTCTCCTGTTTACACTCAGTAACTGACAGTACTGTCAGCATAGGTAGAAAAGTAAACAGGGTACACAGGATCAGTTAGTGTGAACAAAGACTCTAGGCCCAGGCTCAGAGGTTAGTGAAGGTGCCCTCAAGCTCCACCAGAGCAGAGCCCCAGAGATACCTGGACTGCGGGGGTGACTGACTGAAGGTGGAGTGTGGGGCAAGGCCCCACTGGCAGCCCCATTGCTCATGGACAGCTTCATCTGAATAAACAGCTTTGCTGCTGGTGGCTCGAAAAGCCCTAACATCAAATTAAGACCATCTAAAATACTAAGAAATGATGTGATTGCAAGGAAAATTTCAAAAGAATAAAATTAGAAGCTTATGATCCTTGCAGAAAAGAATGGTCACTGAAGAGTTCTCTACCCAGGGTGGCCAGGCCTTGTACACACAGGTCACGACAGCTTGCAGCTAGCACTGGTGAGCCAGGGCCACCACAGACGAATCTAAGACCTGGTCATGGCACATGCTGGCCGTCAGAGCTCCTCAGTCCACATTTGCCGTTCTGCATGTCGGCTTTATTTTTTTCTTATTCACCAAAGATTAATTCAAAGAGTCTTCTTTAATGAAGGATAAATCAAGAAATGATGCTAATTCCTTTACCTTTATACAAACACACTTTCTGAATCCAGGAGAGCGGGTTCACCTTCATCAACGCATACGGGATACTGATCACGTGCATCTTGTTCATGACGCTCTATGAAAGACACAGGTGCTCAGGGCAGGCCTCACTCTGCGTACAGATTGCAGAGCACTAAACCACACCTGAAGTGGCAAAGGTAACACCACTGCTCACAACACTATTTCGGTTCAGATACATTGGTCAGGTGAATCAGCAGAACTAAGGACTAACTACATGACCTAAAAAGTAGGGTTTGGTGTCATGTATTGATATGAAACATTAAAAATCCCTCGTTCCAACAATTAGATCATTTAGCATCAACACTCACTGTTAACACTCCATGCCATAGACCAGCATCCCTTTTGAAATCCAGCACATTTGTTAGTGTTTCAGCTGAAAGTGGACAAAGATGGTTAAACCGCTGAGTGAACCTCTTCACAAGTCACGTGCACTTTTAGAGAAACTCTGAGATGAGCACATCATCAACACATAAGAGTTTTAGGGAAACATACAGCATTTCCAAATACCATGCGGTAATTAACCAATAACCTTGCTTATCTATTCAGGTTACTGGAAAAACAGAAAAGTAAGTCATACAATTTTGGATTACAACATAACTATGCTGATCACCAATCTGAAAACAAAGAGACAGTCTCTAGGTAAGAGACTGAGTGAGGCTGTCACAAATTTCAGTCACTGTGGGTGACGACTGTCATGTGTGCTCTTATACATCCAGTTCCCCCATTTCTCACACCCAAGGCCGTTATCTTGCATCTTCAAAAAATGTCTCATGCTGTTCGTGTCACATCCCTTCAGAAAGGTGCTTATTCTCTCCTGCTTATTTTCTCTTCCAGAGGGTATGACTGGTAGGTATTAGGTAGCAGGAGCAAACAGGAGTCCCCAGGCTTCCCATTACGACCTTGTGCTCACAGCGTCTGGTCACATCCTCTGAGGGACCTGGTTCCAGACCTCGCATAGGGAAGGGGACAGAGTCTGGGGCTAGAAGCAAATCTGGTCCCTTACCAAAGGCCATAGCAAGCCCTAGTGTGCCCCACAGGAGAAACACCCCCGCTGAATACAAGCAGTTGGGTCTGTGTGCCAGGACACTGCTACGTTCTGATTAAGCATGCTGTATAGGATTCCTGGTCAGCAGAGGAGCCAATTATAGGTGACATATACTAGGTCTGAAGAAGGAAATCATGAGACTTGACTGATAGGCCTAATTTTTATTTATTTTATTTATTTTTTTTCCACACCTGAGGACATTTTTGCATTTATTTTTAGATGGAGCAGGAGGAAGAGGGAGAGAGGGAAACACCAATGTGAGAGAGAGAGACATCAAGTAGTTGCCACCCACATGACCCCAACTGGGGCTGGGGACAAACCGCAACCGAGGTACGTGCCCTTAGCGGGAACCAAACACAGAAAAAACTATCTGGTCTGTGGGCCGACGCTCTAACCGCTGAGCCAAACTGGCCAGGGCAATAAGCCTAACTTTTGAAAAATTATTCGATCCCTTGAACATATCTAAAATCCTCTTCCAAACGTCTACTGAAGTCTTCAGCTGTGTCCTCCACTACCCCTTGCATTTTAAACACCCGTATCTTAAGATATTTAAACATACCATTCGATTTACTTTTCAGTTGTGTTCAAGTATTGCAATGCAAAGAAAACTTCCTTGTACATGTTTTTATAGTTTTTGGAATAATAGTTCTCTAAGTTAAATATCTGACATTTGCCCAGCTGGTGTGGCTCAGTGGACTGAGTGTCGTCCCATGGACTGAGAGGTCCTGATTTGATTCACGGTCAGGGCACATGCCCAAGTTGCAGGCTTGATCCCTAGTAGGGGGTGTGCAGGAGGCAGCAGATCAATGTTTCTCTCTCACATCGATGCTTTTATCTCTCTCTCCCTTCCTCTCTCTCTAAAAAAAATAAAAACATATTTTTTAAAAAATACCTGACATTTAACAGCACATATGGCACTACCAAGAGACAACCTATGATCATAAGATTCCATCTGTACATTTGTATGTGGCACAGATTAAGGCTAAACCACAGGCATATACAACAGCAATAGAAAAGTGAGCCCCAACAACATGGTTTTCCATATTTTTAAAATGTAAAATGCAATGCCCCTCATCTCTGTTGCAGGTTGAACCAGCCAACTGGTATAGATGAACTGGTGGGATATGGTCTTCACACTCCAAAAATCAACAGAGACATAAGTTTATTGAAAAGGGCCCAATCATCCAGCACAAGCAGAGCTGAGCATGTGGCACCCGGAACAATCTGGATTAGAGGGCGGGTCCAGCACAGGAATGGATCTGACACCCACAGCAACAGTTCCCAGGTGCCTTGTGCATGGCTGAAGAGTGGCCCCACATGCCCTTACCTTCCAAGTAGCCGCACGCCTGGGTCAGAGCCCGGCACTGTGCCAGCAGGGATGCATGGGACACTGTGACCCCCACTGTGCTGCCTTCTTTGCTGGTTTTATACTGAAATATTTCAAGAAAAAAAAATCCATTATGTGATGTTTCTGGAGGCTACAGAGGAGAGAATGGAAGCTGATAGATTTTAGAGAGAAGAAGCTATTAGCTGTCTCTCCTTCACTAACCAGCCCATCACACTGGAGAGCACTTCACAACCTGATCCTTGAAGTGACACCCTCAGATGAAGTCAGGACTTATCCTGGGCAGGTGCTGAGGACAACAGTGCTTGTGGGCTCCCTCCTAACTGTCCTCACCCCCAGGGTAACCAGTGAGGAGAGTCTAGGTAAGAGTGAAACTGAAAGGATCTGAGAAAGTTTACATATGAGACTTCACTGGGCTGAAGATAAAACATAAGTTTTAGCCTGCAAACTAAAAAAAAAATCAGTAGCTCATACTCATGTGAAAATAAAACCTAACCCGTGGGGCCTGCTTTAGCATGCTCTCTGTTAGAAGTCATCACCTCAATGTAGGCGGTCCCGGCTCTTTCATCCTGGGCCAGCGGGTGCCAGTCCTTGGGGGGCTTAGTCAGATGCTTCCCATCGATTACCAGCCAGGTGAGAGGGGGCCAACCTGTGGGGGTGTAGCCAGGAGACATGGCACAGGGGAGTGTCAGAAGGTCTCTGCTCCCCACAATCAGAATTTAGCTATTGAACATGCAGTTCTAGCTTCTGAGAGAGCCTGAGGAACAGACATCTCAGTCTCCTTTAATTCTTATTGAATTCATATTAAACAGCAGAGGTCTAGATCCTGAACCAGGTGAGAAGTGAGATTCACCAAGGCTTCAATCAAGGACTTTACTTTTGCTGAAGGCTCTTCAGCCTCTGTATGTTTAACTACTAGAAAAACACTAGAGGACACAGTTTAACACAGAACACTGACTCCCCTTTCCCTTAGGAGCCCACCTTTGAAAGTTGCCACCTCTCCGGTCTGTGCCTTAGGTAGGCCTTTCTGACAAGCATCCGTGGTCAGGGCCAGGGCAACACCACAGCTGCCCAGCAGAAATCCAATCTGCTGGCTGCCAGCATCCTGCACAAAACAGAGGTGGGAGTGAGGCGTTCCGGGGAGCCAAGGCATAGGACCTTTACTATGCATAGAAAGGAGAATGCTTTTTTCCACCGTTTGTAAAACATTGCTAGAACACCAGCAATTTTCAATTGGTGTGCTGCCAGGTTTTTTTTTAAAACATGCAATACCTGACTATTTAGTCAAGGGCATTAACCTCTTTTCCCTTAGATTGTCAAATAAAAATATGATACCTGCCCTGGCTGGTTTGGCTCAGCAGTTACAGTGTCGGCCCGTGGACTGGAGAGTCCTGGGTTTGGTTCCCTCTGAGGGCACGTACCCTGGTTGCAGTTTGTCCCTGGCCCTGGTTGGGGTTGTGTGGGTGGCGACTGGTAGATGTGTCTCTCTCACATCAATGTTTCTCTCCTCCCGCCCCCCCCCCGCCCCCCCATCTGAGGGTGGATGCAAACAGTGTCCTCGGGTGAGGAGGAGAAAAAAAAAAAAAATGACACCAGCCAACACAACAACAGCTATCCAGTGTGAATGAATCAAAATTATACCTATTTTTTTTCAGATCAGTAATTAGCTTATGTGTGCCATGGATGAAAAAGGTTGAAAATCGCTATCTACTGTATTTTCACAAAAATAAAATATAATTGTTTTTAAATTTAAAAGATATGCTTTTTGCAATGATGTATAAAGTTCAGATAATGGGCTAATTTCTCAAAGTTTATCTTGCAAATGACATTTAGTGGCATTTTAATAAACTCCAAAAATAACAGCATTGAAATTTCCACTTGATTAGTGCTTAAAATTTAAGGTTAACCTGGAGAGGCCTGACCTTAGCAATGCTAATTATCTCCACATAGAAATGCACATTTCCTTTCAGGCAAGTCTTCTTTTATATATGTTCCTCAATGAAATGTTATCATTTTCTTCTTGTAAGTTTGATAAATCTCTATTTTTCTCCCCTAAGAATCCCTGTATTCAAGTATCTGTCATTATCTATGGAAATGTACTAGTTTTATTTGCAAACTTTATTTTTGAGATTCTTGAATATTTGTTGTTCCCGGCAGTCTTCGGGAACTGACATGCCTGAATACTGGGATACAATAGAAAACTCTGATTTTCTATAATACATGCCTAGTCTGCTCCTAAAATGGTAATTTTTTCAATAGTCAGATTACTGACATTTATATGTAAAATATAACAGCTGTCTAGACCATCAGAACCCCCATAGTAATCGTAACAAAAACTGTTATATAAGTAAACAGAAATGCAAGAACATTTCCATCCCATATATTCAAAATTAGCACTGAGAAGTGAGCTGTAATGATTTACCCCCAAGCAGTGAAATTTATTATCAATAAACACAAGTTTTGAGAATAAGTTTAACAAAATCTTATCAAATCCCAAATTCTATTTATCAAAGGGAAAAAAATGCTCATCGTTTCAAACAGATGATATAATAGCTCCATCTACCACTGGTCTAACTGCCCCTTCAACAAGATACATTAAAAAAAAAAGAATATTTGTAAACAAAATTGCACCCACTGACCGCTCCCTAGAATGAAGGAGATTTAGGACACCCCAGAACTGATGTGTCAACTTCAGAATAAAACCTCATGGAACCTAAACCCATGGCCCGGGCCAAGTTTGCTACCTTTCTTGTTAACGGCACTTCTATGGGGACAGGAACCAGCTCTGCCAGGAGACACCCATAAAATGCAACCATGAACATCACAGGGTCACTGTTTGGAAACACCAGTGCCACCTATAGCAACGTAAAAAACAACCACGGAATCAACTGGAGAATGACTTGTCATTTCAACTTTTAGAGTATCTGCTGATTAGATGGAATTGAGACATTTTAGATTATTTTATTATCTGGGAGTTAATTCTTAGTCCTTAAATTTCCTCAACCATGTAACTTTTAATGATAGCTTTTAGGTTGAAGTCTTTACCCTACATACAACAAAATAACTTTAAATTTCTGGATTTAAAGACTGTCCAGCATCGCTCTGGTGTGAGATCTAGGTACAGCTCCCATCCACTCTAACCACCTGGGCAGCAGCAATTCAGGAATGGACCGTCACCCACCAACAATTAGCCCAGGTGAAAAACACCTGTATCAACATAAAAAGGGAATAAGAAATCAAATTGTATCTAAAATATCTCCCAAAAGAAAAAATCCTAACACCAAAGTTTTAGTTGAACAAATCTCCACTCAAGACTTAATGGAGTGTTGAGACCCCTATAGCTGCTCCCTCCCTCTGAGTCCCTGTTCCCACCTGGTTACCTGCTATTGTTTAAATTATATGTTCTACTTCTATCTATCTTAAATTTTTGTTGTTATCAAATTGTTTTAAACACAGAATTTGAAATGACCCAAAAAGTACTAATGAAAAACAATATCCCCCATGCTCTACCCTTTCCCATTCCCCAAGGCAACCACTTTTAAAATATTTAACATTTCCAGATGGCCTGCCAATGTCGCTCAGTGGACTGAGCATCATTCCATGGATTGAGAAGTCCCAGTTCGATCCCCAGTCAGGGCACATGCCCAGGTTGAGGGCTTGATCCCCAGTAGGGGGCATGCAGGAGGTAGCCAATTGATGTTTCTCACATTGATGTTTCTCTCTCTCCCTCTCTCTCTCTAAAAAGTCAATAAAAAACATTTAAAAAAATAAAATAAAATATTTTACATTTCCTTTTGCTATTTACTCTATTTTCAAATATTTTGCTTACACTGCTGTTTTATCTTTTGAAAATATTTGGGTACTAATTTTATTTACTGGTATTAAAGATGAATATTTAGCCCTCCTCTTCCCACCCTTTCTCTTCTCCCATCATTCCAATTTCCATTTCTTATAATAATATGGTTACATGAAAAGCTGTTTATGGAATAAGATTTTTGTAAGCACCAAGCAGTACTTGAAACCATAGTGAGGAGTCAGAATATTATTTGAGTAGAATTTTAACATAGGACTCTGAACACAAAACAATGGATAACTAATAACTGTCCACTTCATAAGGCAAAATTTAAGCTATATTTATTCTGTAAATTTAATCAAGCTTGTAAAAAGCTAGTTCTTATAAAAGCTCTCCTTATAAAGTTGATGTTAATAGGGGCTATTCTAGAACTGAGACTTATAGCCTTGTGACTAGATGTTTGGTATAGAAAATATGTTTTTAGAGAATCTGCTATAAAAGAGTTGTGTTTGTTCACTTTTACAAAGTGTATTATCACAGAGGATGAATCTGCCACTCATCTCCGATAATGAGCTCACTGTGATCTTATCAATCCTTTTATAATTAATTACATGGATTCTCTAGCAAGTCAAGAAAGTATCTACCCTTGTCCTTGAAAGAATTTTCTTAAAAAAATAAATAATTAGTGATTCTTAGATTCATTTTAAATCACAACATAAATCAGGGATTCTTTCAGACTCACTCTAAAGCACAACACATTATAAAGTATCATTCTTGTACCGTTCACAGCCAGGTACACATCTTTCTTTCTGATGGTGACAGATACCAGCATTCCTACTGGCTCTGCTCTCTATGTATGCACCCACTAGTGTGCTCTAGAATACCCCACCACATGTGTAAATATCTATATAGTATTTTCCAAATAACCAACCAGTCAGGTGAACTCAGAAGTTTTACCAGCTGTAGACCAGCCCCACCTTCACCCTGCGCCATCTCTCCTACTCCTGGTTCAGCTTCTCCTGGTGGACTGCCCTGTGGCTCTCCTGTTTGGGCCCCACTCACTGAAGCACTTCCTGTAGGACTTCCAAGAAAGAGTGCTTGAGAGTTCAATTTTTTTTGAGTTCTGAGTGTCTGAAAAAGGTTACCCCATCCTCACATTTGTTGAATATCTAGGAATAGAACTATAGGTTAAAATCAGATTCCCTCTGAATTTCTGAAGTGCCATGCTGGTCTCCTCCAGTTTGACTACTGACCCCATGCATACCCTAATTTCACTGTAGGCTCTACACCCCGGTCTTGCACAGTAATGTGGTTATGTGTTCATGTGCATTTGTGGGGCTATTATGTTTACTCCAGGTCCTTTCATTTTGAAGCATACACTCGCCAGCTCCAGAACATCATCTTAAAATATTATTATCACTAAAAATTTTCTACTTTCTCTTTTTGGAACTGCTGTTAGATGTTGGGTTTTCTTGACCAATCCTAATTTTTGCAACTATTTTTCCTTCCTACCATCCATCTCTTGATCTTTCCTACTAGCATAGTTTTCTTGATCATAGACTCTAGGAATATTAATACAAATTTTCTGAAAGTTTGTTTTCTGTATCTAGTTTTCCTCTAAGTTAATTTCCTTGTCCTCCTGCCCCCTTCCCCTTTCCTTTATCTTTCATTTCTTTGCTCTTCAGCTCTCTTCTTTCACATTAAGGTTTCCCTCCTTAAATGTCCTTGGCTTCTGTTTTTATAAATAAAAAATGAGGCACTCACAGAGTTGCCTGAAACTCTATGTCAGCTTGTTAACTTATAGTTTCATTGTTGGGTGATTTGAGCCTAGGCAACTTTTTACTAGGGGATTTCACTGGTAAGTATGTTGATTTTCACCATGTTCTCCTGTTTTCCATTCTGGACCTTCTGGTATACTTGGGTTCCTCAAGTCTGGTTCAGTTAGCCAAGCGCAATGCTATCCAATTGAACTTTCTACAATGATAAAAATGCCCTATTTCCAAGCTATCAAATATGATAGCCATTAGCCACATATGCCTACTAAGACCTTAAAATGTGGCCAATGTGACTACTGCCAACTATTTGGGGTAGTGTAGAACAAGGAACTAAGCCTCTAGCCTCTTTTGCATGCTACTGGGGCTGGTAGGTAAGAAGAGGTGGCCTGGCCACATAAAATAGGGAAGGAGGTGAATATAAAGCACACAGAATTTCAAAGTAAGGTCGTTTCTTCATATACCTTAAGCTTTGGCTATTTAACATTTGTTAATATCTGATATTAATATTTTTATTAAAATCAACATAGAGTCAAAGAGAAAGAAGTTGAAGAATAAGTGGACAGGCAATGAAAATAAAAAGAACAATCATTTTATCTACATCATCACAAACTTTACCCATATTTAATATGTTTTCATGCTGACTTTCAATCTCTTGTACTAATGCTATAAGTCTAACCAGCTGATTTCAATGCAACAAATTTTTAGAGTCTCTGTTTTTGCTCTCTCCAAAAAAGTTACATTTGAGTTACTTACTCTGTCTCCAGGTTTAAGTAGTGGTTCATTCTTACAAGTCAGTTTATTAAGAAGAGTATAAGCTAGTTTTAAACTCCGACTCCAAAGTTTGCCTAAAATGAAATAAAAATACTAAGCAGTGTAAAATTTAAAAAACTAATAATTAACATTTTAATGTAACAATCATAATATCCCACAATGTAACATTACTCAATTACTGAAAATTCAGGTAGTTTCCAAGAGATAACTATTTTGCACAATGCTGTAATGAACATCATGGTTTTCTCTTAAAACAACTTGTTGCCCAGCTGGTGTGGCTCAGTGGATTGGGCATCGTCTCATAGACTTAGAGATTTCGGTTCAATTCCCAGTCAGGGCACATGCCCAGTTGCAGGCTTGATCCCAAGTATGGGTGTGCAGGAGGCAGCCAATCGATGTTTCCCTCTCTCACATCATTCCTAACTCTCCCTTCCTCTCTCTCCAAAAAAAAAAAAATCAATAAAATATATTTAAAAAAAAAAAAAACTTATAGATTTGCTTCTTAACACAAAAACAATACTGAATTTTATTATAGAAAATTTAGAATATAGAGAAGCCAGCAAAAAAAAGGTCAGCATTCTTTATTATATATATGCGCACGCACACACACATACGGGATTTTCAAGAAATGAGATCATATCCCACCCTGCTTTTTTCAATAAACATTGAATTGTGAATGCATTTTCATGTCATTAACTTTGTCTCAATTATATTCCTTATAATTCATGTACCTTTACAACAATTTATGAGGTAGGTCATTTATCTTCATCTCCATTTCTCACTCAAAACAAGTCAGGGAGATGTTAAGTAACTGCCAGAACCACCAGCTGCTGGAGTAAGTACATCTGGACCCTCAAGATCCAGCCCTCAACCCTATGAGGTCCTGCCCAACACATTTCCCCTCCTGGCACACAGTCTCTATATTCAGCAGCCAGGTCTAGTGAATGCTCAGTAAAGAAGAGTTTCTTTGAGGAAGACAAGAGATGAGATTAAGAAAAAGTAAAGGAGACTAAAAGTTTTTGAAGATGTAGACAGAGGCAGGGGTGATAATGCTGTAGGAAGATAGAAAAATCTGAGGCCATTCCTAACACCTGAGGCAGCCATAACATTCAGCCTATGCAGTGTAGCTAAAAAGCAATACCAAAAATCAGAAATGAAAGAGAAGTAACAAATGACACCAAAGAAATACGAAAGATTATAAGAAAATATTGTGAACAACTATATGCCAACAAAGTGGACAATCTGGAAGAAATGGATAAACTACTAGAAACATACAACCTTCCAAAACAAAATCAGGAAGAATCAAAGAATCTGAATAGACAGATTACAACCAGTGAAATTGAAATAGTAATTTATAAAACTCCTAACAAGCCCTGGCCGGTTTGGCTCAGTGGTTAGAGTGTCGGCCTGCGGTCTGGAGAAATCTGGGTTCAGTTCCCGCTAAGGGCGCGTACCTCGGTTGCAGTTTATTCCTGGCCCTGGTTGGTTGTGCAGGTGGCAGCCACTTGATGTGTCCCTTTCACGTCGATGTTTCTCTCTCTCTCTCTCTTCCTCTCTCTCCCTCCCACTGTCTGAACAAAAAATGGAAAAATGTCCTTGGGTGAGGATAAAAATAAACAAACAAATAAAAAAACTCCTAAAAAACAAAAGACCTGGACTAGATGGCTTTACAGTTTAATTTTTACCAAACATTCAAAGAAGAACTGACACCTATCCTTCTCAAACTATTCCAAAAAATATAAGAAGAAGGAAGACTAAAAATTTACTTTAAAAGACCAACATTATCCTAATTCCAAAACCAGATAAAACACTACAAAGAAAGAAAATTATAGGCTAATATCCCTGATGAAGACAGATGCTAAAATCCTCAACAAAATTAGCAAACTGAATCCAGCAACACATTAAAAAGATCATGCACCGTAATCAAGTGGGATTTATTCCAGGGATGCAAGGTTGGTACAATATCTGCAAAACAATAAAGAATACACCCCATAAACAAATTAAAGGATAAAAACACATGATCATATCAACAGCTGCAGGAAAAAAAAGCATTTGATAAAATCTAGCACCAATTTATGATAAAATCTCTTAACAAAGTGGAAATAGAGGGAACCTACCTCAACATAATAAAGGCCATATATGACAAACCCAAAGCCAACATCATACTCAGTGGGCAAAAACTACAAGCATTCCCCTTGAGATCAGCAATAAGACAGGGATGTTCACTTTTACCACTCTTATACAACATGGTACTAGAAGTACTAGCCATAGCAATCAGACACAAAGAAGAAATAACAGGCATCCAAACTGAAAAGGAAGAAGTAAAACTGTCATTACCTGCAAATGACATGATATTGTATATTGTGAACTCTAAATATTTCAACAAAAAATCACTAGAACTGATAAATTCAGTAAAGTAGCAGGATACAAAATAAATATTCAGAAATCAGTTGCATTTTTATACACCAATAATGAACTATCTTCTAGAAAGGGAATATAAAAAACAGCAATCCCATTCACAATTGCTTCAAAAAGAATAAAATACCTAGGAATAAATTTAACCAATGATATAAAAGACCTATACTCAGAAAATTATAAGACACTGAAGAAAGAAAGTGAGGAAGATACAAGTAAGTGGAAGCATATAACTTGTTCATGGATAGAAAGAATTAATATCATTAAAATGTCCATACTATCCAAAGCAATCTAGAGATTCAACACAATTCCCATCAAGATACCAATGGAGTATTTCACAGAACTAGAACAAATGTTTCAAAATTTTATATGGAAACACAAAAGACCCTGAATAGCAACAACAATTTTGAGAAAGAAGAACAAAAAGAAGAACAAAGTTGGAGAAATCATGCTACTTAATATCAAACTATACTACAAGGCCATAGTAATCAGAACATCATGGTCCTGGCATAAAAATAGACATATAGATCAATGAAACAGAATAGAGCCCAGAAATAAATCTACACCTTTATAGTCGATTAATATTTGAAAAAGGAGGCAAAAACAGACAATGGACTAAAGACAGTCTATTCAATAAATGGTGCTGGAAAATTGGACAGATATCACCTTCTTATACCACACATAAGAATAAACTCAAAATGGATTAGAGACTTAAATGTTAGACTCGAAACCATAAAAATCCTAGAAGAAACATAGGCAGTAAAATCTTGGACATTTCTCGTATATCTGCTATATCTCTTGGGCAAGAGAAACAAAAGAAAACATAAACAAATGGAACTATATCAAACTAAAAAGGTTTTGCATAGCAATGGAAACCATCAACAAAATGAAAAGACAACTCACCAAATGGAAGAATATATTCATCAATGCTATATCGGATAAGGAAGGGGTTAATATCCAAAATTTATAAAGAACTTATCAAACTCAACGCCAGCCTGGCTGATGTGGCTCACTGGTTGAGCATCAACCCACGCACCAAGAGGTCATTGGTTCAATTCCTGGTCAGGGCACATGCCCAGATTGTGGGTCAAATCCCCAGTGGGGGTCATGCAGGATGTGGTCAATTGATTCTCTCTCTCATCGATGTTTCTATCTCTGTTTCCCTCTCCTTTCTTCTCTCTCTAAAATCAATAAAGGAAAAATATTTTTTTAAAAAAACACTCAACACCAAAAAACAATCCGATTAAAAAATGGGCAAAACACCTAAATAGACACTTCTCCAAAGAGGACATACAGATAACCAACAGACATATGAATAGATGTTCAACATCACTAATCATCAGAGAAATGCAAATTAAAATCACAATGAAATATTACCTCACACCTGTCAGAATGGCTATCATCAATAACTCAACGAAAACAAGTGTTGTCAAACATGTGGAAAAAAGGGAACCATTATGCACTTTTGGTGGGAATGCAGATTGGTGCAGCCACTGTGGAAAGCAGTTTGAAGTTACCTCAAAAAATTAAAAATGGAACTGCCTTATGACCCAGTGAATTCTACTTCTTGGAATTTAGCCAAAGAAACCTGAAACATTAATTCGAAAGAATATATGTACCTATGTTCACTGCAGTATTATTTACAATAGCGACGATTTGGAAGCAGACCTAGTGTCCATAAGTAGATGAGTGGATAAAAAAGCTGTGGTACATTGACACAATGGAATACTACTCTGCCATAAAAAGGAAGAAAATTTAACCCTTTGCAACAGCATGATGGACCTGGAGAACAGTATGCTAAGTGAAATAAGCCAGTCAGAGAAAGACAAGTACAACATGATTTCACTCGTATGTAGAATTTAATGAACAAACTGAACTACCAAGCAAAATAGAGACAGATTCATAAACAGAGAATAGGCAGACAGTTCTGGTGTGTGGGGGGAGGCTGCTGGGGGTGAGGTGAGGTGGAGGGATTGAGCAAAAAATATATATAGAGAGAACTTATGGACATGGATAACAATGTGGTGATGGCGATAGGGGTGGGGGGCGAGGTGAAAGAGGACATAGAGGGGATAAATGGTGAGGAAAAAATATAAATAAATAAAAAAAATAAAAAGTAACACCAATGTCCTAATTCAGTCCCTCTCAAATTCCTGTGACACAACTCTATGCAATATGAACAGCTGTGCCCTCTGAATAAATGCTCAAATTTCATTGCAAATAATATTAAATTTCTTGCAAATAATATTAAACTCAGGTGCAACATTATGAAATAAGTGAATTGTGGGACCTGAGAAATAAATGAGAAAAAATATTCAACTCAAAAAACTTGTTGCTTTTGTCTATATAAATGGTCAATTCAAGATGTTAATAACTGCATTACATAAAGATTTTCAAAATGAATCCTGCTATAATATAATGTGTGGTAATCAGGTTAGTTTTATCCCAAGAATGCAAAGAGGTTTAATAGAAAATCAACATAATCTGCCACATTAACAGAACAAAGGTGAAGAAAAATAAACAATTTAACAATCATTCAGAATCTTAAATGATTTTTTAAATCCTTCTTAAGTTCAGAATGAAACTTAATGTGACTTTTAAAGGCCGTCTGTAAAAATCCTATAGGACATATCACGATTAATGGTTAGATACTGAAAGC